TGCGTGCGTGCGTGCGTGCAATCCAGGCTTAATGCCCTCTCTGCTCCGAGACTGGCAAGAGCCCAGGCTGTGGGCTTTGGTGAACCAACAGGTGCTGGTAATTTCCATCGCTAGTCTGGCATGAGGCCGTCGAGAGAGAAATAAACAAAGTAATGACAGTCTCTGGAAGATACCAGAAGAATTCCAGGCTTTGGGGGCTAGCCTTTGAGCTCCAAAGCTAGGAAGAGTTAGATTCTTGTGATCTCGGATTTATTCAATTTCTTTGAAGTTATTGCCAAGAATCCAAATGGTTTAAATAGTTCTCTTTTGGTCTGTTGGTCCATTTATAGATGCATGTGGCTATCTGGGGGAGAGAAAGGATCCTTTGCAACACATGGATGTCTTTATTATCTGTTATACACATCTCATTTGTGTTCCATTGGGATCTAAACTGATTAAGTGTTCTGTATTCGGGGTTTTGAGATTTATACAGTATTAAGAATTGGCCCCAATGTTAATGTCAAAACCAAACTGATCTAGGAAAACTATTTGTTTCTGCATTGAGTATCAAGTTATGTGTTAGTAGAGTGATCAATTTATCTAAATGATCAAAACCAGAAAGCCATACTTTTATAGCAATGCTGCACTGCTTTCAATTGCTAAATAAACATTTTAAATATACTAATTTGGAATTTTTTTTTAGATTTCACATTTGCCAACAATGTAGACAAGTAAGTGATACATTTTTATTTTTGCTTTTATCATCAGGTTATTTCATAATTGGGTTGATTCCTAATTATCTTCATTTCCCAAAATAGATTTTCATGAATTAAAGAGTGCTTCACTCTTCATTAGTTGAACAGAATTGCTAAGTCTTTCTGTGACAAGTGAATTCCGGCTATGTAGTAATATGTGACAGTTAGACTTTAAGATCATAACCCCAAATTTAAAAAGAGGGCTTTGATACATTGAACAAAATATATTAAGGATTATTATTTCAACCATTTCATTAACTGTTATTAACTACTTCAAATCAGGGGCCTTTTCTTATTTACTTTTTCTCTAAATATGTTCGACAAAAGCATTATCAGATAGATTAATATTTTACTATCACTGGTTTTTACAGTTTCAAAGCCAGTCCTGCATTAGTTACTATAAAATCTCCCAAATTTCATGAACGGTCAATTTAAAACCATCATCCTTTTTATTTTAGTACTTACAAGGTTGTTTTTTTAATTTGAATTGTGTTAAAATGTACTATCCCAATATAGAATAGTGTAGGGAAATAATAACTTTACTATAATATACTGCACTTATAATATCATATATCTATAAATATTATAATCTCATTCAATGCTAGTTTTAAAACATGCATGCTTAAAATCAGGAGGCCTAAATTATAACAGCCAAACTCCAAATATCTGCTTGGTCAAATATGGTCAAATACTTTATTTTAAAAATAATATATGCAAAAAAGCATTACTGAGCATGAAAATCTTTTGTTAGTAGAATCCCAAAAAATATTTGTTAGTGGCACTATAATAAAAATAACATTCACTTTGGTTGAGCTAGTGAATTTTTTTCCTGACACAGTTGCTATTCTTGCAGAACTACGTTTGCTAACCCCGAAGATGCTGTTTTCGTGAGGGCCATGAAGAGATCAGTGATGGCTTTTACCTCTGTGAACTGGGACACAGTCCCCACACGAGATGAAAAAGACCTGCAGGAGGAAGATGCAGGGCCTGCTCAAATGCTCACAATTACACTGCGATAACTCCTGCTATTTCTAGAAGTCAGAGTGGTTTTCAGTATTATAAACTTTTCTGTACCTTTGCATATCCTTATGATGATGTTATTTGGAAAATTTTAATGGAATTGGAAACTAATGTTAATGTTGTTAGTAGGTGCTGCCGCGCTAGTTCCAATTTGTAACGATGCTATGCACAAAGGATTGCCGTGGCGGGCACCAGCCTCATAAGTGCTATGTTTGAGCCCACTGATGCGCAGGCCACAGCGTCAATCCATCTCAATGGAGGACTTCAATGTTATCAACCCTCTACTCTACCAAGCATGACTTTTCCTTTGCCAGGGTCTGGTCTCCCCTGATAGCATGTCCAAAGTCTATGAGAAACACGAATCATGACACATAATTCCTACATCTCATGTTACATATTATAAAGTATGTGCTGGGGGTAAAACAAGTATACAGACATGTATATTTGTTGTTGGGTGCCAGCAGTCGGCTATGACCCATAGCTACATTATGCACAATAGAGCAAAATACTCAAGACCCTGTGCCACCCTCACAACTGTTCCTCTGCCGGAGCCCATTTGGCAGCCATTGTGTCCATCTAGCTCATTGAAGGGCTTCGCCTCTTTTGCTAACCAGGATATAACCTCCTCCAGCCACTGGTTTGTGCTAACAATAGCTCCAATGTCTGTAAGACAAAGTCTTGCCATCCTTGCTTCTAAGGAGCCCTCTAGCCCTACTTCTACCAACACAGGTCGGTCTGTCCTTTTAGCAGTCCATGGTACTCTCAGTATTTGCCAGTACCACAATTCAGATCCATCAATTTTTCTTTCATCTTCCTTATTCAGTAGCTATCTTTCACATGTATATGAGGCAATTGAAAATACCATGGCTTGGGTCAGGTGCACTTTTAATCCTCAAAATAGCATCTGTGCTTCTAATACTCTTATTGAGTAGTGTGCAGCAGATTTACCTCATGTAAAATGTCTTATGATCTCTTGATTTGTGCTTCCAAGAGCGTTGATTGTGGATCCAAGCAAGACAAAATATTTAACAATTTCCACTTTTCCTCCATTTGTCATGATGTTACCTATTGGTCCAGTTGTGAGGATTTGGGTCTTACTTACACTGAATTGTAAAGCTACAATCCTTTGTCTTCATCAGCAAGGGCTTCAATTCCTCCTCACTTTCGGCAAGCAAGAGTGTATCATCTGCAGATGGCAGGTTGTTAATAAGCTTTCCTCCATCCTGAAGCCACATTCTTCTTCATGTAGTTCTGCTTCTCTGATGAATTGTCCAGCATACGGATTGAACAAGTATGGTGAGAGGCTACAAGCCTGACATATACCTTTCCTGATTTTCAGTCATGCAGTCTGCCTTTGTTCTGTTCAGACAACTGCTTCTGAATCTATGTACAAGTGTTTCAAGAGCACAATGAAGCATTCTAGAATTTCCATTTTCCCCCAGTTTATTCACTTTATTATGGTCCACATTCGCAAATGCCTTGGCATGGTCAACGAAACACACGTAAACATCTTTCTGATATTCTCTGCTTTGAGCCAAGACCCATCTGACATCAGCAATGATATTCCTTGTTTCAAGTCCTCTTCTGAATCCAGCCTGAACTTCTGGAAGTTTCCTGTCAATGTACTGCTGCAACTATTGTTGTATGGTCTTAAGTAAAATTTACTTACATGCTATATCAATGATATCATTCCATAGTTTGAGCATTCTGTTGGGTTAGCTTTCTCTGGGATGGGAAAAATATGGACGTCTTCCAGTCAGTTGGCCAAGTAACTGTCTTCCAAGTTTCCTTGCATAGACAAGTAAGACAAGTAAGAGTTTCCAGAGCATCTTCAGCTTGCTGAAACACCTATATTAGAGCTTAAGTTCTGAGCACCTTAGTTGGCAGAAGGCTATGGGAGACAGTGACCATGCAAAATCCATTTGCAGAGTCCCCAACTAGATTAAGCCTCCATTTAACTCCTTCTGATCATTAACCAAGGGGCAGTCTTAGGTTTCTGTGAGTGTCCTGGATCTGACAGTACAGGGGTTCCATTATCAGGAGGACTGCCGATCAGTCACACCTGACTGCCTTGGTCAAGAGGCCCTGGACCAAACTCATCAGCTCTTCGAGCTAAGAATGTACATATCCCAATTGTGGTCCTACTTTGCTTCTGTGGACTCCTCTGTAATTGTGATATATTGATCAGCCACCAATGATGACTTGGTGACAGTCCCTTTGGTTTCATGCCTTACTGAATTAACGTCTAGACTGTGACTCCTTCGATGCTATTATGACCTCGTGCAGATGGCCTCCCTCATCCAGATGATGTGTCTGTTCCCTTTTAAGATTTAACAAATGTTCTCCTTAAATTTATATGATACTGGGGGCTCTTTGTACCCAAAAACACATACCATAAACATTCACCTCAACACACTTTTAAAAGTGTGTTGGACCCACATGCTAGAAGCCCTCCTCCCTGTCCCCAGTCCCTACCCACTCCTCAAAAGGAACAAATGTCTTGATTTTCAGACCACAAGTTGTGTCCGTTTTTGAAAGACCTGTAAATAAAACCATAGACACATTTTGCCTGCTTTCACAGGGCAGTTAGATCCACCCATGCTGCCAGTAGGACTAACAATGCTGTCATTTGCACGTGTGTGTAGTTTCCATTGTATAAATAAAGCGTGCATTTTATGCTCCAGGTACTGCTTTTTTTCCCTTGCCCATGGTGGCATCTGCCAGCTGTGAGAGTGGGCTAAGGCTCTAGCGTGGCCAAGCCTGCTGGGAGAGGAAAGAGACACCCAAAGAGCCTGGAGCAGTTGCCTGGTGCTGAGTGACAAAATTGGTCAGTTAAGGTTAACTCAAAGACATCGCTGGTTTTCCCAGAAGACATCCTCAGGATTCTGGAGCTGAGTAGGAGCCTAATGAGCAAGATCAAAGGCTTATGAAAGGCAGAGTGGCATTTCTCCTTATCTGGAGGTGCTTAGGAAACATAGCCCTGCTGAAGTAATGGGACTGAAACCCAAGCAGGCAAGAGATGAAAGCTTTAGAATTGGCATAAAGAACTACGGCCTCCTTTCACATGGATGCAGTATGGACTTTGGGAACCACTGATAAAACAGTGGCATTCTTTGCAGATCTATTATTTTATTAGCTGCAGAGATACAACATAAAATTCACATCTTACATGCTAGTGGTAACTTGAGTGTACTGAGTAGTAAGCTTCATTGAGTCCCAGCTCTGCATTTTTAGGCGAGTTAGGCGATCTTTTACATTTTGTTCTCCTCTGTGCTGTTAAATGGTTAATAGACGGCAATGTGAGCACAGTAGAACTGCTACAGGGAGTTCTCCAGGCTATGACCTTTGGGAAGCAGGCCCTTAGGCCTATCTCTGGGGTGGATTGGAACTACCAACCTTTGTGCTAGTATTACATGCTAAACTGTTGCGTCACGCCAGGACCACTCATCTGTGTTATGAGGATAAGAATACAATTAATTCATAAGGTTGTTGTACCTCTTAAGGCAAGAGTGTCAAGCGGGTCTAGTAACCATAAGGGTTAAGCTATGATTATTACCTATTGAATCAAAAAGGAGCACTGGTGTTGGGGAAGTGCTGGATGGCTAACCCCACCACCAACCTCTCCACAGGAGACAGTTGAGGCTCTCTGCTTCCATAAAGATTGATGGCTTGGACATGCTAGGTAGGGTCCACTGCCTTGGACATGCTAGATAGGGTTGCTATGAGTCATAATCAACTTGATGTCAGTGGGTTTGGTTTTGATTTTTCAGTGGTTAAGTGCTTAGCTAGGAGCCCTGGTGGCATAGTGGTTACACATTGGGGTGTGATCCATAAGGTTGGCAGTTTAAAACCACCAGCTGCTTCAAGGGAGGAAGAAAGGGGCTTTCTACTCCCATAAAGAGTTATAGTCTCCCAAACCCACAGGGGCAGTCCTACCCTGTTCCATAGTGTCACTGTGAGTCTGAATTGACGTGAAGGCAGTGAGCTTGATTTAGTTTTGGTAAATCAAGCTCTAGTGGGTAAATTTAGCTGCTAACTGATGGTTCCTTGGGGGTATGGCAGGGGAGGTTGGAGGGGACTGGGGAGCTAACAAGGAGTACAAGAATAAATAAAATTGTTCTAAAACTGTGTGTTAATCTGGGTAGACTAGAGAAACAAATCCATGGACACACGTGTATAAGAAAGAGGTTTATATACAAGAGCAGTTGAACATGGAGAAAACATCCCAGCCCAGTCCAGATCAAGTGCATAAGTCTGATATTAGCCCACATGTCCAATATCAATCTATAAAGTCCTCTTCAGACTAACGAAACACATGCAATGAAGCCAAATGCAGGACGATCACAAGCCGGTGGGTAGATATTCTTTGAGTCCAGTGGCGTTGTCAGCATCTCAGTGCTGGCAGGGGTCTCTCTATGATTTCTCTGGCTTCCAAGGTCTTGTCAGCTGCATGTCGCTTATCTTCTGCAATGTCTCCCAGGGAGTAGCAGAGAGAGAAGTGTCTTCTGCCTCCAAGGAGGAAGTACCAGATTTCCCAGAATTCTCAGGCCATGCCCACAGAAGTCTCATTGGCTATCTCCAGATTGACAGCCTAGACTTCACCCCTACACTGTTAATCCTTAAATTGACACCAGATTAAGTGACTAACACAAACTGATTGTATAACTCGTTGATGTGATTGAACAATTGAATTAAGTGATATGTGAATTACATGCCAATAAATGTTTTTTTTTTAAAACCCAGACTTCAGCCTATTCGATTTTTTATCCATAATTAGAAATTCATCTCAATGAAGGGAAAATTCACCTGTACATTGCCAATCTCTTCATTTTTCTGTTTCCTTCTATTTTTTTTTCACAATCCATAATCTCCAAAATAGGAACCAGGTCTTCTTGCCAGAGCCTACTACAGTATCTGCTAGAGGGTGAGAAAACAAAGTCATTTCCCCAAAGTGGGAGCCCTGGTGAGAAGGCATGCTGGTGAAAGAGGAAAACCTTGGCGAACTATTGTCTGGCTTGCATTTGGAGATGTTTATATTTTCCAAGAAAGGTAGACAGATTTTGCTTCCTAAATTCCTACCCATTGGTTCCACCTACACGGACTCTTCCAGGCACAGTGTGGCTGGCATAGAGTGTGTCAGCAGCCCGGAAGGGAGTCATGAGTGGACACAGAGAACCTACCTACAGTCTGGTATAGGGTAGGTGTGGGTTAAGGCAAGGGGACTTTCAAAGAAAAGTAATTAAGTGTGAGAGTGAGGAGATGAAAGAGGTAACAAGTCAATCAGGGAAGTAGGTGAGAATTCTATGACCTATAATTATACATGTAAAATAATTATCAAAAGACCAGGAATTTGCTAAATTCTCTAGGATTTCTTAGGTTCTCTAGCATTTCTCTATATCTGCCACCGTACCCATAGACAGCAATAAACAATGAAACAAGCTCTGAGCCATTTACAATAGTAGACACACTTTATTGCACAATCAATACATGGCACTTGGAAACAGAACTCTCCAGCTATCACTTGCTCTTGGTCTGCTTAAATATGGTCTAGACTGAAACCTAGTGCTAGGACTTTCCACAACTGATCGCTGTGACTCATGATTTCTGGACGGGAAAAGCCAGATGAAAACACAAGAAATAATAATCAGTCTTCCAGATGGGAGTATGGCACTTGAATTAGTCTGACAAAGGCATATTTAGCAATTATTTAATAAAAAAAATAAACGTGAAGAACCATCCCTCTTAGTGCACATGCGCAGAGAATCTAGCTATGCTGCAGTTCCTTCTGAAGGACTGACCATTTCTGAAAGTATAAATGCTGAGGATAAAAAAACACTGCAGGAACTATAGAGAGTTCAGAATGCGCAGGATACTTTCTATAAAAATACTACCATCCGCTCAGCTATGGCAAAAACATCCTTTAACATGAAGTTTTGCTATTATTATTACATGGTACCCTGATAAGTAGGAAGTTCGTGCTTGCAAACGCTATCAGGGTAAGTCAAAAAGAATTGCTACAAAATCACAGTAACCTTATCAAAATGTGAAGCCATGGCTTCTCAACATGGCTTCCATCTAGGTCTCTATACTTCTAAAGACTGGGGCAAGGTTTCTCAATGAACTTCTCATAGGGCAGCCCTTAGGGCCCTTGACGAATGAGCAGGCGCATCATCTTTCCTGGCCCTTTTCTCAGCAAGGCAGCATCCCCACTTTCTTCACACTTGGTCCACAAAGCTCCCAGGATCACAGTGCCCTTCAAGAAAATCACTTAAGATCACACCTTTGGAATAATTTTTATAAAAAGTCTTCCTAAGCTGCTGAGTTGACCTCTCCTTTGAATTGAACTCTCCCTTGAAGTCACTGTTTTATTTGGACTTTCTGTTGAAGGCATCCTAGTGAGACCAGGACAAGTGCATTTGTGAGAGGGCTTGTCTGCAGCCATATCCCCAAATGATAGCAGAGAGGTCGGGAATAAACCTGCTCGTGTACAAACTAGAACCCTGGCAGCAATACTTTTTGACTTACCCTCAGAGTTGTATGAATTTTATTTACATATAAATAACTTTTAACTACCCTTCTTGGCGATTTCCTATAAAAGCCACTTCTCTGACACATGTTCCGTTTCCTCCTCGGTTTTCTGAAGGGATTTTTTTTTTCCTTTGAGAAAAATTGCTCCAAAGTAGATTTCAAAACGGAAGTAGAAATGGTTTCACCAGTGTAGGGGGGCGGGGGGGGGAACTTTGGATAGGAATGTGTGTCCAATTACGGATCAGAAATCAGTCAGAAACTAGGGTGGAATAGGCAGAATTTTGCTTGGCAGCATCTATACTAAGAAATGTGGGATCTTGTCACAGTGCCATGCAGATGTCACGAGGCAATGAGGGCGGCATGGTCACGGTCACGTGTGCCCAGCTACCTGTGCGGGTGAGGAACACTTGGTGTCCCTTACTCCTCCGGCGCCAGTGGACCCGCAGGCCCATCCTGTGCACATTCCGCTCCAGCCTCACGCCGCCGAGGTGCCTTCTCCCCTTCCGCACAATCCCCTGGAGTGGCACTGTCTTGCGAGGCTCTGGTCTCAGCACGTGGTGGCTCTTCGTTGACACAATTAGAATTGAAATCACGTTGGCCATCTGATGAAAGACAAAACTGATATTAGGGGCTAGAGTGGGAAGCAAATGTTTTGAGAATGATGAGGGCAACAAATGTGCATATGTGCTTGACACAATGGATGTATGTGTGGATTGTGATGAGAAATGTACGAGCCCCCAATAAAATAATTAAAAAAATATTTGGCATACACTAAGCACTCGGGAAATATATGTATGAAAGATTTCCCTTAAAACATTAAATTTCTTATTTACAGGATGGTCACACAAAAAAAAGGCAAACAAAACAAAATCCCAGTGACCTCCTTCCTAATACAGACCGGACATTCTTCTCAGCGCTTTGCACACATTCACTCATTTAACCCTCCTCATAGATGCAGGAGGGAAACATACCAGTCTGTAGACTTTGCATACGGGCAAGCTGAAAATAGAGGTGACAACACTTGCTCCCCGTTGTTAAGCTTGTAAACCACAAACTGTGTTTGAAAACAGCACTGCCATTAATAAGCGTCTAAGTGGGGATATCAAAGCCCATCTTCCATTGGCTACAAAAACAAAAAAGGGTTCATAGTTCTTGGGATACATGGGCACAGCTGATGGGTAACAACTACTGACGGTTCTGTCATGATGATCCTATTTCTCTGCACACTTGTATGATGATTATTGTCTGTCTATGAGCTGTAGAGTAAAATATTTAGTTCACAAAGAGTAGGTATGCGCTTAGAAAGCCTAGCTTATTCTCAACACTAAATGGCTTCTGTACAAATGATTCAGTGCTAAAAGGATTGTAGAAGTGGAAATGCCTAACGTCAGAGCTACTTGAGTGACTTTTCAAATCATATTTATTCCTCCCAGAACACATACTACATTCTCAGGGGTGGAGGCAACAGTAGGGGGTATCCTCCTCCTCCCTAATAGGAGTTTCAATGCTGACAAAAAATGGATCAAACCTCACGAAGGATGAGGAAAAAGTAAGGTGGAAAGCACTGCTCGGACACTTGGTAGAGATTTAGATGTAATATTAAATGTGGGGTCCACGGGGTTGTCAGTGACTGACTCCTCTCCAGGGGGCAGCCTACCCTTCTCTGTAGTCTGCAAGCTCTGTGGACACCTGGCCGCGTTCGGTGACTCTGCTAGTATTTGAAGTGCCGGTGACATCGCGGTCAGCATTGTAGCAATACACACACCACCACAGTAGGACAAACGGGCAGGCAAGTGTTTAGAGAGGCAAGGATGGATGTTCCCTTGAGGATTAGGGTGCACCGAACCCAAACCATGGTGTTTTCAATTGCCTCCAATGCAGGTGAAAGTTGGATACGGAATAAGGAAGCTCGAAGGACAATCCATACATGTATTGGCAGAGAATATTGTAAGTACCATGGACTATCAAACAAATAAATCTGTCTCGGAAGAAGCACAGCCAGAATGCTCTCAGAGGCAAGGGTGGCAAGGCCCTTTCGTACATCCGCTGGGCATAGTGTCCGCAGACATCAGGCGTGGTCAGTGGAGGGCAGTGAAAAAGAGGAAGCTTCTTGACAAGATGGACTGACATCGTCACTGCAACCATAGGCCCAAACACAACCATGACAAAGGCGGGGCAGGGCGGGCAGTATTGGGTTCTGGCGTACAGAGGGGTGCTATGGGTCGGAACCAACAACAGCAGCAACGACATTAGCTCTGCGATGTTATCCGCAATTTAGACTTTTACTATCATTTTGCCTGTCGTTCTAAAACTTTTACAGCGGTTCTCAACCTGTGGATCGCAACCCCTTTGGGGGTTGAAAGACCCTTTCACAGGGGTCGCCTGATTCCTAACAGTAACAGTGTTATGTTACATACAAAAATGACAGTGATGAAGTAGCAGTGAAAATAATTTTATGGTTGGGGGGTGGTCACCACATCACAAGGAACTGTATGAGAGGGTCGCAGCATTAGGAAGGTTGAGAACCACTGGTTTAAAGGTTTCCAACCTCAAAATCTTTTGGTAGTCATTAAAAACTCTCACTGCCAGAGTCAATTCCTACACATAGTGGCCCCCCCACCCCCAAAACAGAGCAAAGCTGACCCTGCAGGTGTCTAAAACTAAATCTTGACAGGAGTAGAAAGCCTCATCTTACTCCCATAGAGGGGCTGGTAGTTTTGAACTGCTGATCTTGTCTTTTCATCAGCCCAACTCATACCAACCCGTACACCACAGGACTCCTTTTGGGAACTAACAGTGGAAATTAACTCTTCTATTTGAAAGGCTTTAAATTCCTTGATGAGAAGAAACCAGGTAACTACTGACCGGAATTCCATTGCCCCAGTGGCTGCATGCACCAGAAAGTACACTGTGAAATAAAGTACATTTCTCAGCATTTTAGGTTTCCTTGTTTTCCAGTGGGATCCAGACTGACCATCTTCTATGCATGATCCCACCAAAACAGGGGCACACCGAGTTTTACTGGGACTCTATGCTAATATTCGTCACCCCAGAGCTTCCTGGGTCCCTGGAGATCAGTTCCTATGTGCCTCTGTTACTATCACCGACCACACCTTGCCCCCTGAGAAGTAGCAGGCGCTCAGTTTGCATGTACGTACCCTCCTCCTCCTCACTCGGTCCTCTGGCAGCCTCCGAGTGTTGCTTCTCATAGATGACCTTCAGACTCTTACATAGTTTCTTATGTGAAAACCAGTGTGTTTTTTGGCACGTTTGATCACAGTATATTACCTGAAAGCAATTAGTTGTAGGTTTGTTTTCATTTCAAGAGCTGTGATTGCATGGTTTTCCAACTATGATGCTAAAGAAAGACATTGCCAAGATGTTACATTCTTCATGCTTTATTAAAAAAACCATGATGTGTGACTATGTCCTAACTTGGCTTACATATATATATATATATATATACACACATATATACCTAAATATATATTTATATATGAAAGTTTACTGAATATGCTATTAACAGTGGTTTATTAACAACCCAAGATTTGTCTGAATATAATGATAAAGAAAAGTCGTGGAGTCCCTGTGGAGTCGAGGTTCATTGGGGAAGTCTGGTACGGTGCAGAAGGGAAGGAGGTGGACACTGAAAGGATTCGAACACAGGGCCTGGAGAAAAGACAACAGGATCACAGAGGAAACCGTGACTGGCTATGGCTGCAGGGGGTCAGTCCACAGATAACGAGGAGGAAGCATTCTTCATGAAGGGGGCATGTTGAACAAAATTGCAGAACGGGGCAAGTGAATGCTCTGTGCCAGGGCAGAGAGAAGCCTGAAGCCAACAGAACCTGGATCTGTGCAAGTGGGGCAGTACAGAGCTAATGGAATGGACCTCGTTGGGGATTTATGTGCCCCGCACTGGGCTAAGCCCGTAGACACACGAGGGGTACTCCCCAAGCTATATATTTAAATTTTTTACAAAACAACCCTATCACCTTCAAAGTGCTCTCCATTACACTTAATACATTGGTCAAATCTGCGATTCCATTCTTGGAAACATTTTTCAAACTCATCTGGATGGCTGACAGCACCTCCCCCTGGTTTTTTCTCCACCTCTTCTACATTGTCAAATTGCTGTCCTTTCATGACCTTCTTTATTTGCAGAAAGAAAAAGAAGTCACATGGAGTGAGGTCAGGTGAGTAAGGTGCTGTTTTCTGCCACAAACAGGTGCACTGAGATGGCTGGGTGAGCAGGTACATTGTCATGGTGGCAAAACCAGTCACCTGTCTGCCACAAATCAGGCCTTTTTTGTTGCACACTGTTATGCAATCTTTTCAGAACCTCTAAATAGAAAGCTTGATTTGGAAAGAACTCCAAATTCACTATCCCCCTCGCATCAAAAAAAACAAATAAGCATCATCTTAATCTTTGATTTCACTTGACAAGCTTTTTTTGGGTGAGGTGATGATGGCATCTTCCACTGGCTTGATTGAGGTTTGCTTCTGGGGTTGTAAGAATAGCACCATGTCTCATAACCAATAATGACCTTGAAAATAAGTCTGGGTCACTTCGGAGTTGTTCTTTCAAAGCACAGTATGTTTCCAGTCAACCCTATTTTTCCTGGGCAGTCAGAACCCGAGGCATCAATTTTGCAGTGACCCTTCTCATTCCCAAAGCTTCCATTAAAATTTGCTGTACCGAGCTCCAAGATAGTCCAGATAACCTCACTGTATCTTCAGTGGTCTGCTGTCAGTCTTCGAGCACAAGGGCATGCATTTTGTCAACATTTTTGTCTGTTCGGAAAGTTGACGGATGTCCAGATCAAGGTTTGTCATCAATCAACATTTCACCTTTTTCGAAATGAGCAAACCACTCATACACTTGAGTTTTTCCCATAGCGCTTCCTTGTAAGCTGTGTTCAACATCACAACGGTTTCTGCAGCATTTTTTCTCAAGCAGGAAAAAATTTCACAGATGCACACTGATCTCTGAAATCGGCCATTACAAAAAACAAAGTTCGAGCAACACTGCTTTTATGAAAAAATTCACTGTGACTAGAGAGAACCTTCCCAGGCAACGCCACTGCATTAACTCGGAGTGCTCAATGCCTGCCTAGTGGGAAAAATGCATACTAGAAAACTCTACACAGCAGACCTTTTTTTGGGGGGGTGGGGGTGGGTAGGAGTACCCCTCGTATATATCATGTTGTAAATTGTATAACTCGTGGGCTCTAATTACTCTACCTTCCCTGTATTCATATCCTTCCCTAAAAGCTCAGCACTGCCACTGTAGATTTTGTTATGCGCACTGGTTCAGCTAATGGAATGAAACAGCATGGCGATTGTGCTCTCGGGTCCCTGCTATCGCCATAGACTATGCTCAGGTTGCTCAGGTTAGCCGACTGTTCCGAAGAGGCTGAGTGACATGGGGAGCAGCGCTGCCCCAGATACATCCAGCCAACCACAAACACCAGAAAAATAAGTGACACTGTTTTAAGCAGTGTTTAAGTATGCTTCTGTTTCTTTAAGGCTGTAATAGTTAAACAATAAAGATGGTCTCAATGAATTCACAACATCACATGTAAGGAAGCTGAAGTTCAACATCACACGTAAAGACGCTGAAGTTCAAGGAAGGTAAATAATTCAAAGCAGATGAAGCTGGAAAAGTAGGTTACGATAGACTGTGGTGGGTTTATATAAATATGTTAAAGAATATCACCTTAAAGTCAGTCGGTAAATTCACCTTACCTGTGGAGTCAAGTGAGTGTACAGATATGAACATGTGTGTAATGTGGGAGGCGCAGCATCCGAGAGGCCATTTAAAAAGGTAGCTCTGGTACAGGTGGGAAGTGCAGTCTGGAGCGGGGATGCTGGGCCCAAAAGTGACTGTCACTAAGGAGGTGTAGTTGTACAAGCGAGAGTTAATGAAGAGATTCTAGTCTAAATCAGTATCATAAGGGTGATAACTGTACATTTAACATTTATCCTAGTCACAAGTTTCCCTATCTAAACTAGCCTTGCAGTACTAATGCTCTATGGATAACCGTTTTGTATTTTAGTTTCTCGATCATTGATGCATTCCCACTTCCCCACCTCCTCTTTGGGGTGGTCAGTTTAGAAGCTAAGGTAGCCCAGGAATCTGATAGAAGACAGGGTATAGAACTACTATCTCTCCTGTAGGCCTCTTCTAAAATATAAAGATGAGAAGGGTGTGTGTAAGGGGGGCCACCGTACAGCAAATTATACAATAATGGAATGAATGAAAATGAATAGATGTCATGAAGATATAAGCAGTGCCACTGAATTATTTCTTTGCAGACTATTGAAGGGAAACCTAATTGGTTCTGTAAGCTTTCACCCTCAATACAATAAAGTATTATTTAAAAAATACACCTTGTGGCTAAGGTATTCGATTCTGAGAGAACAAGTATGTTAGACCAGCCAACTGGTAGAGTTAAGGAATCTTAAAACCCACTACCAATCTGGAAGGAAATCCAAACCAGGTACCGATGACTATTAGAGAGAATTTTGTTCTTACCATTTTGCATACTGAACATCTTTTACTTGCTCCTTTTTCTCCACAGGTTGTGCAAAATTCAACATCCACAAAGCCCACCTGACCGGTGATGGCTTGGTGAAGGACAGAGAAGGCCGTGGGCTCGGATCCCTAGGGAGGGCATAAGGAGGAGAAGAAGGACGCTGAAACCAGCCTGGAAGGCCTGTAAGGGGGGGGGGGGAGGAAGTCAAGAACAGGCACCTCAAACAAGGAACGGCCCTTAAGGCTAGAGAGGAAACACAAAAGGAGCCCTGGTGGTGCTCCTGTGCTCAGCCACTAACGGAAAGGCTGCCGCACGCATTCCACGAAAGCATGAGGTGGCAGTCTGCACCCAACTTATGACAAAGGACAGGCATCTTATTCTTTTGAGCTGTCTCTTCCATACAAAGTATGTGGTTAATATGTATTGATCTCAAAACAATAGGAAATAAAAGACCTGCTCTAAAAGAAAATTAACTTTTCAATTAGGATGATTCAAGAAGCCTAAAATAAAAAATAAAAATAAATCATTTTACTTCTGCCACATTTCTTACTTTGAATCTGCAGTTAAGTATCGACTGGTGATCCTTGAGATGCTTTGACTTCATCTTACAGAACAGAGCTTTAAATTGTCAGCCGAGAACAAGGTTCTACACTGCTCTGTGTACTTAGATAACAAAATACTCAAACTAATTCGGAAGGATTTTTAAATGTAGCACCCATTTGCAAGCTGTCATTCTACAAATACAAATAAAATTGACTAGCTTTGCTCCACTTTTCAATGCTAACCATTAGCTTTTGGCATTATTATGGTGAAAAATAAGTAAAATGAAATCCCAGACATTAGATGCTTAAGCTCATGATGTCCTCGGGAAACTGCTGGTATGCATCAGAGAACATTAAAAACTGCAGACACCTAGCAGAATATCTAAGGTGGGGTCCAGGTAGCTACCAATATCCCCAGGTAATTCTGAGAAATAGTAAAACTTGTAAATTCCTACTACTTAATATCATGTTGGAGGAGGTCTGATAACATAGTGGTGTAAGAGTTAGGCTGCTAACACGAGCTAGGCAGTTCAAATCCACCAGACGCTCCAAGTCAGCAAGATGCAGCTATCGGCTTCAGGAAAGACTGACGGCACCAGAAATCCTATGGCCTGTTCTACTCTGCCCAATTGGGTCCTTATGAGTCGGAATTGGCTCCATAGCAGTAAGTTTGCTTTCGGTTTTTAAAATATCACATTGAGCACTTTGCGCTGTTGTTAGGTGTCATTGAGTTAGTTCCGACTCATAGCGACCCTGCCTACATCCGACAAAAGGAGACACCACCTGGTCCTGCGTCATCCTCACAACTGCTCTTATGCTTGAGCGCATTGGTGCAACCATTGTGTCAATCCACCTGCTGAGGGCCTTCCTCTTGGCACTGCAGAGGAGAGTACTAAGTTCAGCCCCACAGTAAAGACATTATGATATACAACAAACTTAACAACTACATTTTCATGTTCAGTTTTTTCTTTTCTCTTTTTCTCCGAGTCCTTATTTTCTACTGGGAGGACGATACAACAGCCCACAGGAGGCACAGAGAAAGGAAATGAAATTGCCAGAGGGAAGGAGGAAGCTAGAGATGGGATTAGTCTTAGAATCAAATCCAGACCAAAGGTTGATAAGGATTTGAGTGAAATGTATAAAAACATGAATAGTGTAGATGCAGTGAACAGAAACGGATTCAACATAAGGAAGGCAAAGAAGTATCTTTTAAAACTATTGAAATAAAAAATGTAACAAAAGGGAAGTAAGTCATTTACACAACAGATAAAAAGTTAACAAAACTCACCATGGCTGGAAAATATGGCAAGTGGATAATGAGAAGCATTAAGTAAAATATATGAAGCTGGGGTATACTTTGAGGCGGTTATCAAGAATACAGAGCACTTCCTTCTACAGGCTCCTAACCTGAGAGCGTAACACTAGAAGGTCAATTTCCATTTATATCTAGTGTGGTGCTGCTCTGAACTGGCATTCCATGTAACTACATATGTACGCACATGTATGTCTATATTACATAATGGCTGACCATCTAAATTAACTGGTTTCATAAAGTCATATGCAGTGTAACCACTATGCCCATGTACAAAATGATGTAAGAAAATATTGCTCTTGATGAAAATACAACTTTCCTCTAGTTCCTAAATGCTTCCTCCCTGCCCCCACTATCATGATCCCAAATCTACCTTGCAAATCTGGCTAGACCAGAGAATGTACACTGGTACAGATAGGAACTGGAAATGCAGGGAATCCAGGGCGGATGATCCCTTCAGGACCAGTGGTGTGAGCGGTGCTACTGGGAGGGTAGAGGGAGGGTAGGTTGGAAAGGGGGACCCGATTACAAGGATCTACATGTAACCTCCTCCCTGGGGAACAGACAACAGAAAAGTGGGTGAAGGGAGACGTCGGACAGGGCAAGATATGACAAAATAATAATTTATAAATTATCAAGGGTTCATGGAGCGGGAAGGGAGGGGAAAAAAATGAGGACCTGATGCCAGGGCCTTAAGTGGAGAACAAATGTTTTGAGAATGATGAGGGCAATGAATGTACAAATGTGCTTTACACAATTGATGTATATATGGATTGTGATAAGAGTTGTATGAGCCCCTAATAAAACCTTTAAAAAATATTGCTTATTAAAATTACCAGCTATAAACTAGTAAACTGGTAAACCAGCTATAAACTGAGATGACAAAGAGGTGAAACTCATAAAACGAAACAGGTTTGATAGGAAAACAACTCCTGGGAATTTTATATAACAATAAAAGTAAATTCTAGAGACAAATTGCTCTACCATTCAAATTGCAGTAGTCAGGCATTACTGATAGAGCTGACTTGTTGAGGGGGAGTCTTACAATTTCAACAGGAGCAATGCTTCGCACCAGTTGCTGGAGGAGTGTAGCTTCACAGTAAGGGAATTTCCTGATACTTTCTCTAATGATCTTCTCTTGATATGTTGGAAAGCCATCAGTAGCTCGGCCTTTTAACAAGCTGAAAGAAACACACACACACACATACACACACACAGTTATTTAAAGTAACTGGAATTCATTCACTAAGGATTCCCTCCCAACCAAACCGATGGTAGTTTCTTCTCAGCTACTTGAGACTGTTATTCTTTGTTAAATCATGACAACGGACTCAATTCAAAGTAATTGCTGATCGATCTGTACTTTAGGTTAGGCCTAATCAGACTCAGGGCCCTGACATTTCAATGCAAAGGTGATCCCTGCTTAAAACACATGGAACATTGCTATTATCTGATTAACTAGTTACTCATTATAATGCCAGTTGTTTGTACAAAGGATGATAACTCCCATCCTATCACATGGTCTCTAACTTAGTTCCCTTTTCTCAGGAGAAAAAAATATACATATATATATATATATATGAAAACGTGGCCCCTGGTGGTCAGAGACCAAGGATAACACACAAGGCACTGTAACCAGGATGCCCTGCATGCCATTTGCACCCAAAGCAGTACACTGTAACAAAACAGACCCATTCTCAATCGCAGCTTTTTAGCTGTATGCTCCCACACAGGTCCTCTCTGAACCTCATCTGTAAATTGAATAAAACAATTTGTATAACTCACAGCATTATTGTAGAGAGGTTCAAAACCTCACACATACTACCGTTGAGTTGATCCCGACTCACAGTGACTGTAACCCTTTAGAGGAGGTGAAAGACTCATGCCTCTTTCGGGGAGCAGCTGGTGGTCAGCAGCCCCACATGTAACCCACTACATGTAGTAATCACTCGAACTACAAATTAAAAGTAAAGATCTGAGTACACAATCCAAGTACAATTTCTCACAGCGTCGGTCTGATTCCAAACAACATACATAACCAAATGCCGAAAGTAATAACTGGTTAAAATGCCTAATTTGAAAATCCATAATGAGACTTTGTATAAGTGTTATCCCCATAAGTGTACTGTGCACATAACATGGTAAAAGCAGTACCTTCTGATCAGCATGTCTAATTTATTCTCTCCATCCTTTAGGAAGTTAATGCATTTCTGAAAGATGCAGCTTATGTAATGCATTTTCATAGCCAGGACTTCATTCATGTCTCGCTGCTTCATACATTTCTCACAAATCAAATCCAACACTTTGTAGCATTTGTTCAGGGCTGCTTCATCGGCCAGCAGGGGATTCTCATTTACAAGCATCACAATCTAAAAGAAATTCCAGTGAGTTTAGAAATGATTTGAGAATATTTTCCATACAGAAAATGTGACATCAATTTTTTTATTATCTCTGTATATGGCCACTTATCTACTATGTTACTCAAATTGCAAATGAGCATGCAAGCTGCCACTTTTCAAAGCACCTTGGAATCTCTTAACTGGATACAATAGCATCACAATAGCATCTGCCCCTAGCTGAACCAGGGAATTAGCACACCAGGCTTTACCAACTTTGCTAGAACCCCTTTTTCTAAAGATAAGGATGACATATGTATGCACGCAACTTTCCATCAAGAAACACACCCTTGAGTGAGTACTATTTTTTTTTTAAATCAATTTATTGGGGCTCATGCAATTCATCACAAGACATAGATCAATTGTATAAAACACATCTATACATTTGTTGCCCTCATTATTCCCAAAATTCGCTTGCCTCTTGGGTTCCCGGAATCAGCTCATTTTCCTTTTTTTCCCCCTCCCCTTCCCTTCCTCCTCCCCTCTCCCCCATGCACCCTTAATAATTTATAAATTATTATTGTATCTTATATTACACTGTCTGGCGTCTCCCTTCACCCACCCTTCTGCTGCCCGTCCCCCAGAGAGTAGGTTATATGTAGCTCCCTGTGATGAGTGAGTACTATCTTTTAATTAATATCACTTAGCACTAGAATTTCATGGCTGGCAAACTATAATTCTCATTCATTCTTCTTAGTTCAGGTGAAATAAGGGGTTTATATAAAGAACCCCCAAATGAAATGTGCTTTACCTTCCCATTAGGTACATTTCTCTGTACAAATGTTCCTAAGGAGGCTTCCAGTCATCTCTGTTAGTACGAGTGGATCAAAGGGAACCATAAAACAGCTTTGAGGAAGAAGTAATAGTTATTGATTTTATGCAGGCGGAACCCTACAGTTTTTGACACAGGCATAGATTTAGCTCCAATTTGTAATGAAGAGTGTCTTTTATCGGCTTGATTCTAGCACAGATCACTTGAAGTCATGGGACAGACATACAAATTCTCAGAGACATAAACAGTAACATAGGATGTTTCCAACACTCTCCTGATTGTCTACCTAGATCAGAGAGCCAGTCAGTATGTAACCAACCTATCACAATAATATGCACGAAAAGTTCATTAAATAGATTCATTGGGCATGAAAAACAATCATTTGTCATTTTAAGTAGAACCCTCTATCTAACCTCTTACTTGGCTATTCAATACACATTTAATGTCATAAAATTGGAATAGAATGTTTATTTGCTTCTCAGACTTCTATATTTATAAGGAATCAAATATTTTATTTAAAATCTAGCACTTCATAGTAAAGTATCAAACCTAATTAAGTATAAACAGTATAGTTATTGATACATTTCCTGATCGTTTCCCCTGCCATTGCATGTGTCCAAGATGCCCTTGTGGCAGTGATGAAAAGGTACATCAATATTCTGTTTATACTCCTGCTGATAAGCATTCTACATATGGCATTTATAACCAAAGTCTAAGATTTTTAAAGTTACAAAGTGGAAATTTAAAAATTCAAACAGAACCCCAATTACTTGTTGCTTGTGTTTATAGACCTTATACTGTAATATACAAACAAAAATTTAAATAATCACAGTTCTACCATGAGCTTGTTCTTCCTGTAGCCCATAGTACTTTCAATATTCTTCACTAATACCATAATTCAAATGCATTAATCTTGCTGTAGCCCTCCTTATTCATTGTCTAACTGTCACATGCACATGAGGCTATTAACAATACCATTGCATAGGTTAGGCATACTTGGGTCCTCAAAGAAATATCCTTGTTCTTTAACACTTTAAAGAGGTCTTGTGCAGCAGCTCTGTCCAATGGAATACGTCCTTGGATTTCTTAGCTGCTGTTTCCATGAACCTTGATCCAAGCAAAATGAAATCCTTGATAATTTTTATTTTTTCCCCTCTGTCTACCCTGATGTTGTCTATTGGTCCAGTTGTGAGGATTTTGGTTTTCATTATATTGAGTTGCAATCCATAATAAAGGCTCCAGTCTTTGATCTTCATCAGCAAGTGCTTCAAGTCCTCTTCCCTTTCAGCAAGCAAGGTGGTGTCATCTGCATATTGCAGCTTGTCAACAAGTCTTCCTCCACACCTGATACCGTGTTTCTCTATATATTATTGCTCAGCTTCTCAGATTATCTGCTCAGCCAACAAATTGAATACATACGGTGGAAAGACACAAATCTGACGCATACCTTTCCTGATTTTAAACCACTTAGTATATTCCTTCATTCTATTCCAATGGCTGATTCCTGATCTGTGTACAGGTTCCAAAGGAACACAATAGGTGTTCTGGAATCACTATTCTCTCAATGTTATCCAGAGTTTGTGATGATCCATAGAGTTGGTACCTTTGCAGTCAATAAAACACAAATAAACATCTTTCTGGTATTCTCTGCTTTCAGCCAAGATCCCTCTGACAACAATGACATCTCTTATGGCGCGACGTCAGGTCCTCCTTTGGTTCAAGCTTGAATGTCTGACAGCTCCTTATATATGGACTGCTGTCCCATTCCAGAATTTTCTTCAGCAAAATTTTACTTGCATGTGGTATTAAATATTGTTCAATAATTTCCACATTCTGTTGCATCACCTTTTTTTATAGTTTTATTGGTACATAATCCACATATCACACAATTCAATATGTCAATCATACCAAGAATTGTACAATCATTACCACAATCAATTTTAGAATACTTTCCCCACGTCCCCAACATGATTAAATCACTTTTACAGGGAGTTGTGTAATCACAATAAGTTTTAGTGCTCCCTCTCCCCACCCCCCACAGTCATTGTTTATTCCTGAAGTCCTCCCACCCTCCTACCTCCCACCCCGTAACCCTCCATCAGTTATTATCTCCATGCACCCACTCCTGTGCTTCACAGACTGAAACACACAACAGAAATATAAAACAAAAACTAAATAAAGTGGTAAGGATAGAATAAGAATAATATAAAGATAAAGATACAAATAATAAGTAAGAAAGAAAAGACCACAATCAATATCTAAAAAGCCAGGGAAGACATTTTTTGTCACAGAACAAGCAAGAAACACTTGCACTTAGAACAAATTCAGGTTGGGTCAAGAAGGTCAACTGACCACGTATCATCTTTGATCCAGCATAATCCAGATGACCATGAGCTCTGTATGAGAGTAAGGCTGTTTGAGAGCCATGCCTGTGGCTAGAGGGGATCTGCCAGAGGCTTCATCTGACTAGACACAGGTGGTTTGGGGTCCACTCTCCTCCTCAGCCAGCTACCAGTTGGGCATTCACAATTTAAGTTCTGATACTTCTCCCATTGTCACATTTGGATTTTGTTATGGTCATCTTTGGATCACACCAGTGGGTGTGCTTCTTCCACGTGGACTTAGTTGACTCCTCACTTGGATGGCTGCTTGTTTGAATACAAGCCTTTAAGACCCCAGACACTACTCCAATTGATAGCGGGGCGTCATCTGCTTTCTTTACCACACTTTGCGGTGGTCCTTTCCTGAAGGTGAGTGGTGAAGCAGGGCCAGGTTATGAGAACTAACTTTTCTTGGATTGGGGCTGGAGTTCAGTGAGAGCCCAGAATCCATCTGCTTGTCTATGGGATACACACAACTCAGGTTTACTTTGGCAGTTATCTGATGACAAAAATCAAAACCCCATTAAGACCAACTATACCAACAACAACAACAACAAATCAACCAGCATACAGACAAGCCAAAGGCAGGAAAACAAAAACCCACAGAAACAAAACATCCCCCTGGGATATAAGGCGACTGCACTGATAACACCAACAACTTCCCCGATGTCACAGCAAGCACTCTGGGCACTCCTGGGGATGAGGAGTCTATGTGAGCACAGTTCCACCTTGAGCTGCACCCATGAGCTGTTGCCCTACACAGTTCGATCTCCCATTTGCTAGAGCTGTTTACCCTGAATATTGGGAGCGGTACCAGGGGAAAACTTCCTGGATCAATTCTCGCAAGTGCAGATCCCTGCCCAACAGATCAAAACTTGTCAAGTCACTGCAAGGGGGGCATCGAGGGACTAATTATGTGGTGTATCACCTTTCTTTGGAATGGGCAGGTATAAATCTCTTCCAGGAGGCTGGCCAGGTACAGGTCTTCCAAATTTCCTGGCATACACAAATGAGAGCTTCTAGCGCTTTATCAGCTTGCTGAAACATTTCAATTGGTATCAATGCCTGCAGCCCTGCTTTTCGCTACAGTCTTTCAGTGCAGCTTGGATTTCCTCCTTCAACACCATTGGTTAGCTGCCCCCAAAACGGGGCTTGAACTAGTGTCCCTTTCTTTACTCTCTGCAACATTATGAAGTCATTTATTTTGAAAGAAATCTTTACTATGAGTGAGGCATAATAAAGGCATTCCAGTGGCATAAAGACCAGATGTACCTATATTCCAAAGGACTGCTGCCTTAGAATGAATTTATACAATGGCATTTGAAATTGTATCTTTCCTTTCCTTTCCAATCACTACACTAGCATCACTTTGTGCACACCTGCCTCTTGACCACTCCCTGGGCCTGCTCATCTCTGCTATCATTTTGTTTCCTCTCCAATTCGGTTTCTTTTCTTCATAATCTCTGTCCTAAACACAATTCCCAAAGTCCCTTTGGAAAACAAACACAGCTGTATCACTATAGCAACCACTTCACCGAGATGCCGAGGTAGCTGCCCTGGGTTTATCGAAAAATCTCTTGAACTTTATGCAGAACTCTTGTTGGTTGCTTTGTGGTGATACTCCCCCAAAGAGCCACGCTAGTGTGTAAAGTGTGAGGCAGTAACAAGGGGCCACCACGCAGAACTAGGCAGCTTTCGTCCCATGAGGGGGTCAAAGAAGGCAGGCTTTCTGCTGTGGGTTTATTTTTCATTAAGATTAAGTAGCCTAAAAAGAAATTATGCGACCTGTTTCAAATTGTTTGCATTTCCAATATGCTGATTGCAATGGACTCAAACTTTATGTCCACATCTACTCCAAATATATGTCTTTAAATATAACTGAAGGTACAAAAATTCTCGGATATGTAATCCTGTGAGACTAGGTTTCATGTTGACATAAAAAATTATTACACAGATCCTTTACACTCTGAAGGGATGGAAACTTCAATACAAAAGGCAGCACATCAGGAGAGTGCAGGAAACGCCTTCCAATCAATGTGAACCAGAATATCTGGGTGATGCTCTGGCAGAGGGGGACGGGGCTTTTGTGAAAACCGCATACCTTCTTTACAGTGAGACACACTATGCCCGAGGAAAGCCTGTCTCCACACTTAGCCTGCCCATGCCTAAGAGAAGGGGCCATGGACGGACACTCTCAGTTCTCTCTCTTCAAATGTACTAGGAGGAACAGACCCACCCACTGACACCCAGAGGCTAAATATTTTTAAAAGATTATACAAGGGAAGATTCAAAACAGTTCATGAAAAATAGAATTACAAGATCATGGATTTTTTCCCACCAACCTTTTGATGGCCCCTTTGTATTCTAAGTCCCGTATAACATCCACTAGGAACACAAATAGGTGGTCTACAGCTAAATTCCTGTTTACTTAGAAACACCAGTGATGCCTCTTGCCCTCCTTTCAAAATGTTAGGAACAACAATGAGTTTTTTAAAGTAAAAACCACTTTTCTTCTTATGGGGAAGTCGTCTACTAATTTTAACATATCTTGAAGATCCAGAAAGTTAATTTGTGTGGGGGGGCTATATGACAGGCATTACCCGTTTGTTACTTGAGCCTCAAAACTGTATGCACAGGGCTGCACAAAGTAGTACAAATGTATCCGTTGTAGAAGTTATACCTTTAAATGAGTGTTAAGTACTCAAGAGAGTACTTTGTAATAATCGTCCACTTGTTTTAGTAGTCTGCATATTCTAGAGAGTTTTCTTTTGTAATAAACCTCTAAGAAAATTTATTTTATATTGAGGCAAAGCCTTGTCTTTTAATTTGACTCATTAACTGTCTTGCTTAACAAATATCTATTTAATTAAATTTTTTACAAACATCTATTTATTACTATAAAATCTACATTCAGTAAATAAAAGTGAGCTAGACCTTGACATTGGACAAAGCATAATACATAATTTTCTGCGATGACGCATTGAATAAGAATTATGATATTCTTACAAATATCTTTTTTCACCTCTGTATGTGTGCATATATGTGCATGTGTATGTGTGTGTGCAAGGCTGTGTACAAAAAGTGAAAACAATTATGTAATTCAGAAGAGTGCTTCACATTTCCCTAGTTAAATCTGGTGAACCTGTGCATTGGTCTACACAGTTTGAATATCTACTCAACTTGAATTACTGGAGGAACATTTTTACACTTGCACAAAAATGTGTTCACAATTGGATTTCAAAACATTTCACAGGTGGGTCATGGTTGCAGTAGACATTGTGGGTGTTCCACCCAGAATCCTCTTATCAAGCTAATGGTCGATCCCCCAGCTGCTGGGAGTACTGACTGATCAAGGTCCGGAGCTGCTCCTCCTCCAGAGAAGTGCCCTTGTCCGAAGGGGCGATTCCTTGGCACTGTCTGGAATGTTTTCCTTTCTCTTTAGGTTAGCCCCAGTTAATCAAGTGACTGGCACGAAAGCCTTGCCTCTGTGGAGCTTGTCACTCTTTACAGTATTCATAGATGGAGGCAGAAGCCACACCTCGATGGAACCCACCTTCTCACCTAGATTTATCTCCCACTCTATTATCTCTTGCTTCCACGTTTTAATTGGGACCACCCCCTTGTGTGCCAGTCCATTGCCAGTTCTATGCCTACCAGTGCAATTGTAGACAATGAGGAGCCTACTAAAGAAGGGCTATTTTAAGTCTGAACCAATACCTTGACAGGATGAAGATTTGTGGTGGTGATAATTTTGTGCAGCGGGCCTGTCAACTTTGGGGGAAGTTTTGGTTCTTTATCCAGTCCCTGGGGCTTTGTGTAATAATCCAGTCTCTCTCGAGGAAAGAAATTGTTGATTATAGTCACACAATCATGTTGACCTTTTAACAGAAAAATAGAAAACATGTTACTTTGTTATCAAAATCAGACATTCTGTAGATTTTTATTCAGTTGCTGCGGTAGTTACATAATCTGGTGTCAATTTGAGAATTCAGAGTGAAGGGGTAGAGCCTAGCCTGTCAATTGGGTCAGAGCCAATGAGGCCTCTGTGTGGGCATGGCCTTCTCCTGAGGATTCTGAGAACTCCTGTATGCCTCCCTGGAGGTGGGAGACACTCTCTCTCTGCTCACTCCCTGGGAGACAGTGCAGCTGACAAGACACATGGAGACAGGCTGATGGCAACCAGAGCCTCAGAGCTGAAGGAATCACGTGGAGACTCCTGACAGCACTGACATGCCTCTACCACCACTGAATCCACAAGATTTCCCACCCACGGGCCTGTGATCATCCTGCATTTGGTGTCATTGCATGTGTTTCATGAATCTGAAGAGGACTTTAAAAGATAGATTGGTATCAGACATATGGGTTAATATAGGACCTATTGACTTGATCTCGACTGGGCTGGGATGTTTTCTCAATATTCAGTTGCTCTTGTATATAAAGCTCTTTCTTATACACATGAGAGTATATAAATTTGTTTCTCTTGTCTACCCAGACTAACACAATCGCTTTGTTTTCTTGTGAGGTAAACATGTGTCAGAACCTTTATTTTTGAGAAATGCTGAACAGAGGAGAAGAAGAGGTAAAAGCATTTTAGAGAACAATTATACCTTCTGGAGTGGTGAAATAATTTTATTTTAAGGATACAGAATGGACCACATATATTCAAAGATTGTGTGGGTTACAGGAGTGTGATGCTGAATTTTAAATGGGTTTTAACTTACATCTGTTACAAAAGTGCCTTGTAATGTACCTGTCTCGTCTTCCACCCCCACACCAACAATGGCCATGATTTTCTCGTCATAACTAACTTTGTGCAAACTGTTCATTGAGTCTATAAAAATGTTGATAGTGATGGCGATGATGACGATTAAGTTAACTCCTCCCATCCCGACTGATTTTGAGAAGAGCTTGTCCTTTGTGAAATGAGTGAGAGAAAAAGCTTCAACTTCCACCTCAAGACGTGTCAGAGAGCCTGCAGCCACACCTCTAAGCCAGCTCTAGACCTGCAGATGGTTCCACAAAAGCAAAGCCCACCCTGGAGAAAGGTGGGAGCCGGAACCTAGCCTCTGCTCCCCTGCTCCTCCTGCACCACTTTCTGAACCAAGGTAGCGGCCACTCTGTGCAAACAGGCAGCAGCTGCAGGGCCCATTGCAGGGCCCATGCTCTGTCAGGATCTCCAGAGAACAGACTTCTTCCTCCTCTCCGGCTGGCGAGGGCCAAGGGACTAGCAGCGGAGGATCCAGGGGAGAGAGCCCAGGCACTGAGGCTCCTGGAGAAGAGTTCACCCTGGACAGGCTATGTGTGTCCTTGCCCACTTGTGCGCAATCCCGGGAGCATCTGCTTGACCCTGCCTGCTGACAAAGTACCCTTAGAAAAGGATAGGAGATTCTTCTTTCCTATATAGTTTCATGGAAGCTCTCTTGTAGTATTTTTTTACACTGTCTATTATTGCTATTAGTCTAAGAACCATGACAGCATAGACAACAACTGTCTTGTTCACCCCTGCAACCAATGTACCATAGGTGGTGAACACTGAATATTTGTGTAATGAACTATAGGCCCCACAAGGTCATTTACTAGATTCCCAATAAACAAGCCTCTTCTATTTCTGCACTTCTACCAGTGGTACTTAATTGTTGATCCAGTGGGGCTATATAATACCAATGACCAGAAGTATTCACTTCCACTCCCCTTTTAGTCCCGACCTGATGTCAAGTTTTGCAAGACATGAATTCTCATGAACACACACACATACACAATGTTTGTGGGTAGAGAAAATGATCATGAAACTCAAACTTAAGGCCATTGAATTGATTCTGACCCCAAGTGTCCCTGCAGGATAGAGCGGGGCTGTCCCTCTGCATTTCGGAGACGCTGAAGGGAGTAAAAAGCCTCCTTTCTCCCGCAGAGCAACTGGTGGTTTGTTCGGCTGGCTTTGCTGCTACAGTTAGACAAACCCCCACCTCCACCCCCCAAGCAAACCCACTGCTATGCCATCAGGGCTCCTGATGACAATTTAAACATAAATAAGTAAACAGCAGAACTCACTGCCATCAAGTCCATGCTGATTCACAGTGACCCAAAAGGACAGGGTAGAACTGTCCCTGGGGATTTTCAAGTAACATTAGAGGAGTAAAGTATGTTAAGACTCTTTCCTAAGAAAAAACTTCATTCTTGTATTTAAAATCATCAATATAACAGTCAACGTTTATTTAGTGCTACATGTGAATTCCTTAAGTCTATCATTTTACTTAATCCTTCCAATAACTATGTAACCATTTACAATGAAGAAACTGGAGATCAGAATCATTAATTGGCAATTAAAATGCACAGTAACTCCAGATTAGGCTAAACTAATTCTCTTACACAACTAAAACAGACTTGTTTAAACATTTGACTACAACTAAAATGGCCTTACCATGCCTTTTTACTTACCAATTGGAAATTCAAAGTAACTTGCTGATTTTCTCCAGTCTTTAAGTAAGCCAGGCAAAACCTAACATGATCTTTTAAAAATAATATGATAGCATTTGCATTCTGAAAAGCAAAGTGATATTTTTTCACAATGAAAAGCTGGAGTAAAAGATAATGTAACATTGTATTAAAACTCACCCACAAAAGCTGCCATCTGAGCTGCTGTCCTTCCTACTGAATTGACAACGTCTGTCTCTGCACCAGCCTCCAGCATAACCCATGTGATATCTTTATTACCTACAAATAATAATGTGTTATTATGAAACCAAAAAACATTCACCACCGTCAAGCCAGTTTTCACTCGCAGTGAACCTATAGGACATAGCAGAGCTGCCCCTGTGGGCTTCCCAGAATGCAACTCTTTACTGGAACAGAAATTTCGCCTCCTCTTTTCCCATGGCGAGAATGATCGGTTCAAAGTGCTGGCCTGTGGTTCGCAGCCCACTAGACCACCAGGTTCCTGTGTTATTAGTAAGAGAATGCAGACCTCAATCTACCCCCCCCCCCAAAACTATCTGCAGCTCAGTGAGTTGTGTATATACATTTACTTTTTAAATTTCCACCTTGTGGATTTTTTCCCCTAAAATATGAATCACGGTATAGCAAAAAATATAGATTATATATATCTATGGAATATAAAATGTTATAGAATCCACATAGAAACTCGCCTTACTTTCTGGAAAATACATTAAACAATACAAAATGGTATGAAACTGAATATATATTATGTATTTTTAAACATGCGGTTAAAGTAATAAGAAAAACAAAGGCAAAACCTCAACCCAAGCTCACCATTATTGAGTCAGTTCTGGCTCTACAGGACAGAGCAGACCACCTAGGCAGGGCTGGAAAGGTTAGAAATCTTTACAGAAGGAGGCTGCCACATCTTTCTCCCACAGAGCAGCAGATGGGTTCAAACCACCAGTCAGTTGTGTGGCAGTGGAGTGCTTTAGACACTGTCCCACCAGGACTCAAAGGAAAGGATAGCTGGTCTTTAATGTCCACTAACCCACTCCATCTCTTCTAGGCACAGATTTTGGAGTAACTTCCTAACAGGTCTTTGTAGACATTTTTGTCAACATAAGCATGTATAGTTAAACTATTCGCATGCTGGCATTAATGGAATGCAGGCACATCTTTTGCTGTTATAAAGTGCACTTATTAAGCAGCCTTTTCCAGGCATCATCTTTATAAACTTCAGCTATAATTTCCTTAAGAGCACTTCTTGAAAAACATTTGTTGAGGGAGGGGAAGAATGAGGACCTAATGCCGGGGGCTTAAGTGGAGAGGAAATGTTTCGAGAATGATGAGGGCAATGAATGTACAAATGTGCTTTACACAATGGATGGATGGATTGTGATAAGAGTTGTATGAGCCCCAATAAAATGATTTTTTTTAAAAAAGAAAAACATTTGTTGAATCAAAGAGTATATATATCTTAAATTGGTGTTGCCAGACTCTTTTCCAACAAGGCTGTATGGATGTGCACTCCCCATAACAATGCAAAGCGGTTTCTGGGCATTATCACACTTTTTTTAAACCTCTGCTTATATACCATAGACACCTGTGTATAAGCCGAGCTTTCCCAGCACATTTTTAAATGCAGTTTTTGTGGTAAAATTAGGTCTCTTGGCTGATATTCGGGTTGGCTTATCCTCGAGTTTATCTGGTAAGTGAAAAAGGAGACCTGGTAGAGCTAGCAGGTAAACTTTCTACTACTGAGCACAGGTCAATGGTTGAGACCCAGCAGCCACTCTAAGGGAGACAGATTTAACTCTGTGGCAGTGGGTGAGGTTTGGTCCATATAAGTGAAAAATGATCATTTAATATGGTAGTTTGTATTTTATTGGGTATTGGTGAGAAATTTTCATGTTTATCAGCCAATTTCTTCTATGCGAAATTTTCTATTCTCCATGAGAATTTTTCTCAATAATTTATTCTTATTCTTTGCTGACTATTTTTTTTTTTTTGGTTGAACCAACTAGGGGTACCCTCTCCCCTGAAAATAAAAATTATATTACTTTCAGAGCTATGTATTTACATTTTTTTACAAAACAACCTTATCACCTTCAAAGTACTCTCCATTACACTTGGTATATTTGTCAGATCTGCAGTTGCATTCTTGGAGACATTTTTCAAACTCATCTGTTTGGATGGCTGACAGCACCTCCCTCTTTGTTCTTCGCCTCTTCTATGGTGTGAAATTGCTGTCCTTTCATGGTCCTCTTTACTCGTGGAAACAAAAAGCAGTCCCATAGCACGAGGTCAGGTGAGTAAGATGTATGGAGCAAGAGTGGCATGCTGTTTTTTGCCAAAAATTGGCTCACTGAGATGGCCGTGTGAGCAGGTGCATTGTCATGGTGGCAAACTCAGTCCCCCATCTGCCACAAATCAGGCCTTTTTTGTTGCACACTGTTACACAATCTTTTCAGAATCTCTAAATAGAAAGCTTAATTAACAGTCTGACCAGGTGGAATGAACTCCGAATGCACTACTAGTAGACATTTGCATCCATTCGGGAAGCTGACAGACTTGCAGAATGAGGTTTGTCATCAATGGACATTTCATCTTTTTTGAAATGAGAAAACCACTCATACACTTGAGTTTCTCCAATAGCACTATCCTTGTAAACTGTATTCAACATCACAACAGTTTCTGTGGCATTTTTCTTCATTCAGGGAACAAAATTTCACAGCCACACACTGTTCTCTTAAATCAGCCATCACAAAAAACCAAGGTTTGAGTGAAACTGCTCTTATGAAAAAATTCACCGTGACCAGAGAGAACCTTTCCAGGCGATGCCACTGGGTGCACAAACTCAGAGTGAGCTGCTGAATGCTCCTCTAGCAGGACAAATGCATAAGCAAGCTCCACCCAGCAGAGCTTTTTCTGTTTTTTAGAGGGGGTATGTCACAGAAGATTCCAAGTCTATGGCAGTTTTAATTTCTTCCTTTAATAACAACTCAGACCAATGTTTAGATCTGACAAGTACAGAATCTGTAGAGTTTTTAAGACTGATTTTTCTCATTCTTTTTAAAATTAAATTTTAACTTTATTTTTATGTGGATTTATATATAATTTCCCCCCTTGTTTGTGGAATATAATTCTTACAAACCAAAACATAGTCTGTTTGGTTTTAGTAATAGTATCCCATTAAACACTCCCTGTATAGGTGGTTCTTTAATGTTCTCCCCTCTACCCCCTTAGTTTCTGGCCCCTTTCTTTCCACCACCAGCCCCCTGGCCTCATCATAGTCTTTATCCTTTAGCATGAAAACCATTGTTCTTTTTTCCTTATTTTGTTTTATAACAATAGTATCTAAAATAAAATACTTAAACTTTATGAAATTGACTAACTTTGCTGAGCATGCATTCCCATTTTGTTCTTGTCTTAATGTCTTTGACACATTCGTCATTGTTTAAGGATACATAATACTCCGTTGTATGAACGTATCAGGATGTGTTTGTCCATTTCGTTACAGTCACGGTTTTTTATTGTTTCCATCTTTCTGTCATTATAGAAAATTCTGCAATAAAAACAGGTGTGCATATGCCTTGTTTGTGTTTTGCTCTTTATTTCTTTATGGTATATACCAAATAGAGAGAATATAGGATCATGGGTATTTATATTTGCATTTGTTTACTGGAGCTCCATTCTGATTTCCATAGTGGTTGTACAATTCTACAATTCCACCAGGAATATATAAGCATTCCAATCTCTCCATATTCTCTCTAGCATTTATAATTTTTTATTTTTTATATTTTATTATAAATTTTATTATGAATATTTATTATAATTTTATAAGATTATCAGTGTGAGGTAATGTCTCATTGTAGTTTAATTTGTATTTCTCCTATGGCTAATGAACACAAACATTTCTTCATATGATTGTTGGCTGCCTGGATGCTGTCTTTATCAAACTATCTACTCATGTCTTTTCCCCATTTTTTTATTGGTTTATTTATATTTTTAATGTTATGGTGTTGTAGTTTTCTATAGTTTGTTTTTTAACTAGGTTTTTAACTGATATAGCAGTTAAATATTGTTTCCCAATCTGGGTTTTCTTTTAACCCTTTTGATGAAGTCTTTTGATGTGCATTCATATTTTAGAAGGACCCAGTCCTCTATTTCGCCTTCTACACTGTGAGTATTTTTCATTATGTTCAGTAGTGAATTTATGCCTTGTATTAGAGCCCTTAAGTTTGTCCCTGTTTTTCACTGATGGTCTTTGTGGCACTAGGGTTTATAATTAGATCTTTAATTCATTCTGTATCCATTGTTGTACATGGTATGAGATACAGGTCTTGTTTCATTCTTTTGCAGGAGGAGATTCGTTTTTCTAGCACCATTTACTGAGAAGGCTATCTCTTCCCCCACTTAATATGTCTCAATCCTTTATCAAAATCAGATGTCTGTAAGTATTTGGTTGTATTTCTTAGTTCTCAATTCTAATCCATTGGTCTTTATTGTCAATTGTTATACCAGCTCCCAACTGTTTTGATTACCATGGCTCTATAATAGGTTTTAAAATATGGGAGTGAAAGGCTTCCTACTCTGTTTTTGTTTTTAATAGTGTTTTGTTCATCCTAGGTTTCTCTCCTTTCCACTTAAAGTTGGTGATTAGTTTTTCTATTTTATTGAAGAATTGTGCTAAGATTTAGATCTGAATTGCAGTGAATTTATAAACTGTTTTTGGTAATATTGACATTTTCACTGTATTTACCGTAGTCTTCCTATCTAGCAGCATGGAACATTCTTCCATTTGGGTAATTCTCCTGGTTTCTCGTATTTTATAGTTTTCCTTGTATAAGTTTTTTGTTTCCCTAGTAATATTTATCCATAGTTTTTGTTTGTTTTGAGGGAGGGGGTATAAATGGTATTCTTCTTTTAATATCTTTTTTGGTGTCATCTTCTTTAATACATAAAAGTCCAACTAATTTCTATATGTTGATTTTTTTTTTAACATTTTATTAGGGGCTCATACAACTGTTATCACAATCCATACACACATCAACTGTGTAAAGTGCATTTGTACATCATTCTCAAAACATTTTCTCTCCACTTAAACCCCCGACATTAGGTCCTCATTTTTCCCCTCCCTCCCCGCTCCCCACTCCCGCATGAGCCCTTGATAGTTTATAAATGGGTATTTTGTCATATCTTGCCCTGTCTGACATCTCCCTTCACCCACTTTTCGGTTGTCTGTCCCCCAAGGAGGAGGCCACACACAGTTCCATGTAATCGGTTCCCTCTTTCCTACCCATTCTCCCTTTACCCTCCCTGTTTTGCCACTCACACCACTGGTCATATAGGGCTCATCCGTCCTGGATTCCCTGTATTTTCAGTTCCTATCTATATGTTGATCTTATAGCCTGCTAGATTGCCAACTTTTTCAATTATTTCCAGCATTTTCAAAATGGAGTCTTTGGAGTTTTCTATATAGAGAATTATATCATCTGCACATACAGAGAGTTTTGTTCTATGCCAATGTGGATATCTTTAATATCTTTTTGATATTTTATAACTCTGGATAAGACTTGCCAGAACCTTCCTAATTCCAATTGTGGTATTTTTCTTTCTCTAATTGACTTAAAATAACTTTTCATGTGTAAAAACATAAACTATTTAGACATGCTCCAAGAATTTTACAGTTTTTATTTACATTTTAACTCCATTTGTGATTTTCCCTAGATGAAAATGTTAATATATTTTGCCATCAATTTGGTCAATCTTTGAGATTCTATACTTTATTTCATGCTTAGAAATGCTTTCCTATCTCAAGATTTCATAAATATAGATTCCTGCTTTTAGAGTAGGAGAACATTATATCTTTATTGTTTTTTAAAAATACTCTAACAACAACCCATACGCACCCTTAATTTTAGAAAACATGTTTGAGGCAAGTGCTTACTGCCACATATCATAAACAAAAAGTCAGAAGAAGTTTCTAAATATCTCACCCTATTTAGGGCATAGAGGTCAATAGAGCAAAAACTAACTGTTAGAACATTAGTTTTTCAGAAAACAAATATGTTTTTATATGGTATCAAAATAAAATGCATATTAAAACAAAAATATTAAATTAAAAGATTAATATATCCAGCTGAACTCTTTATAAAATATTGCTAAAACAAAGAGTCCATTGATTCAAGTAACTAGAGACACAGATCACCACACTAACCATGTAGTATATGACATACATGGCATGTTCCCAGAAACCAATGAGCATCATTCCCTTTCATTAAACCTGACCTTAAAACAAGGAAAACAAAAAATCCACTTACTTTATATAACATACGCACACATACATGATGGGGTTTTAAAGGTATGTGGAAACATAATAATAAAAGATAAAGGCATTTTTCAATCTCTTTTTAAGACCTCCCCATATATCCTTATAAAAACTTAACAGAGACGACTAATAGTAATAAATGAAGTATATGCTAAAACGTCACCAGAAAGTGCAGCAAACATGAGGGCTGTGTATCCGTGTTCATGTTGATGACAATTGACATCAGCTCCATGTCGTAAAAGTAATTTACACATATCAAGCTTTCCTTTATATGCAGCATGCATTAGAGGAGTCATTCCATTCTTTAATAGAAAGGGAAAATGCATTACTTTTATTTATTTACATTCTATTTGTATTCCTATAATCCAATTTTTTAAATATACATCTGTATACATCATTATATTGTATAAAAATAAATTAATACAATAATCCTCATAGTCTCTGTAATATTGTTAAAGTCACTTCTCCCACATGGAATGTCCATAAATTCCAGAGAAAGGGGCAGCTTTAATACTTGAGTATTTTAGAAATCAACAACTGACTGAGAAAAGACTTGCTCAATTTCATATGACTAGTACATGGTCAAGCAGCCCTGGTGGTGGTGGCGTGACCAAGCTGGGCTTCGATTGGCAAGTCAAAACCACCTGCAGCTCTTAGAGAGAAAGGCTGAGCTTTCTACTCTCATCGGCAGTTCCCATCGCGGACACCTGCAGAGGGTCACTATGAGTCAGCATTGATTTGATGGCAGTGAGAGTACATTGCTAGGCCTGGGACAAAAAGCCACATTTTATGGTCTTCATGTCTACCCAACATGCTTCATTCCTGAGAAACAAATGAATAAACAAACATAGATAAGCCAAACTCAGTGCTATCAAGTTCATTCCAACTCATAACAACCCTATAGGACAGGGAGAACGATCCCTGTGGGCTTCCAAACCTCTGATTGGACAGTCACAGTAAGCTGCATCTTTCCCTTGCGGTACAACTGTTGGGTTCAAACCGCTGACCTTCCATTCAGCAGCCCAGCGTGTACCTGACTGCGCTACCAGGACTCCACAGAGTGACGCATAAGAAGAAACAAACAAACAAACAAACTCACACAGGAGCTCTCTCAAGAGGAAATTTGAATAAAGAATGATATATCAGTATAAGGAATATTATGAAGATATTAAGGAAATTAATTCTTTTGTTTCTATTGAATTGGAGAAATTTCCATGAATTACTATGAATAAAGAAAATCAAGGCACTGAAATTGTAAAATGGCCACATTTTTTTAAGCAATGGTTTCCCAAAAAATCACACATGTGCAATATATACTACACCATTATATATGCATACATTATGTATACACATATAAATTATACACACACATACATGAGCTCAAAAAGTTTGGGGAAAAAAAGAAAGTAAGAGATAGTAAAAACTTTCTATGAACTTTCTGAAGTGCCTTCATATATACATAATGTATCGAATAAGATTGTAACAATGTAGAGAAAGCTTTGCCAGTGTATACATCTGGCTATTATTGTTTGGCATCCATATGTTTTGAGCATATGCAATGAAATACCTAATCTTGTGTGTCCTAGGTGCCTAACACTGCTGAATGAATAAATAAGTGAGCTGTTCCTCGTAAGCAATTTTTTTTGGTAATCCAAGTTAAGCTTTTTTATGTGCTGGAATGCCAAGCTTGTTTTGGATTAAAACATCTCATGTAAACCCTCACTAAATAAAGTTCAGAAGAGTGAGTGTGATTTGAATTGTTCTGGAGTCGTGATGACTCCGGACTATTATTTTAAACAAAAACCATCCAGTTGTGATAGAATCTCACAACTCTTAGCAGGCGTGGGAAGACTACCCAAATCCAAACCTCACTGGCATCAAGCTGATTGCGGTTCCCAGGAGGCCTACAAGTCAGAGCACAACACATGCCCGGCTGTAAATCCATTTGATGGAAGCAGACTCCCACGTCTTCCTCCTGCAGAGTGGTGGTGGCTTTAAACTGTCAACCTCTCGGTGACACCACCCACGCTATCCCCAGGACTCCTGTGAGGATTATTAATATATATTTATATGTATACATACATACATAAATATATATAAACACTGCTATGGAGTCCATACTGATGCAAATCAACCCACAGGACTGACTAGAACTACTTGCTAAGGTTTCTGAGACAATACATCTTTATAGGAACAGACAGCCTTAGCTTTCTCTCCTGTGTGGATTAACGAGAGTGTATATTTTAGGCTATTGTATGAGAGGCAAATTAAAGGAGATGCCAAAGTTTTGGGGGAGTAGGTATGGAAAGCAGACAAGGAAATTCTAACTTTGAGACACCCTTGATTGGGTATTTCTCTTCAAGGGTGGGGCATTGTTCTGGAGGGGAGTGAGGGTTGTGGGTAATCATCTACCCGTACAAAGGCAGTCAATGGAGTGCTATGAGGGTCAAGGAATAGGTGATATATTATGCTTTGGACTCTAGAGGTGGAGAGCAAAACAGGTATTCCGAGCATGACCAGTGTGGTAGTGCCTGAACAATAAGATAATCTGTAGATAAGAGGCTAGCTTGCAGATTGCAGGGAAAGGACACAGCACCATCAGAATGGCTGCTAAGGAAGCAAACAACTATGTCTACTACATATGGCAGAAGTCTAGGCCATGGACTGGAAGTTCAGCATATTTTTTTTAAAATCAAGAATGGGGTAGTCAATCAGCCACCAATCCCATCCAACTGCTAGAAGTTATCTATCAATGTGAATGACTAACTGGGAGAACACTGAATAGTCCTCTGGTTTAAAAAGCTTTCAACACAACATGATTACACACACGAAAAAGAGATGTGCAAAGCTTTGGGATTTTATGTTGCTAATTATTCAGCTTTTCTTCCATCTGTCATCTTATTAACTAATTCTGCCCATTTACCTGTCTGCCCACCTGTTCCCTACTTCTCCCCCACTTTTTAAATTTTTTCTTACAATTGCCATACTATATATTCTCATGAGAAAAAAAACATTAATTTTTTTTTTTACCTCATCCAAACAGTTAACACGAACATCCTTGTTGGCTAACAGTGTTCCAGCTTCTTGGACAGTACCTTAAAAAAAAAAGAGCAAATTATGGTCATGTTTTATTAGAAAGATTTTTTAAAATTCTAACATCAACCCCCACCACAATAAAAAAAATCAAACAAACTTTAAAGATTTATCCTGACACTAATCACATTATGTTGCTAAAACACAAAGCATCCACTCACACACACTTTAGTCCACAAATTATTCAGAAGAGATTTATTGAAATTAAAATAGCTTCATCTTGTTTTTACTACCATTGATATTGGAGTATATTATAGTACCTACAATTTCCTCTTGGCAACAATACAATAACCATAAAGCTTAAGATAGTTAATACTGAAAAAATTTTTAAACAGGATCTAGTCCAAACTATTATCTAAAGCTTGAATTCCTGTCAAGATAAGTTGAGTCAAAAGTACAATCCACAGTTATACAACTTGTCACCATGAGGCCGTGTGAACTCATGGCCTGTCTGTCATAGAATGCCTGGCTTACAGTATTCTCACTCTCATTCCCAAATTGTAAACCTGAAGGCCCGATGTTTGCCAATTTAGAAGTAATCTGTACATTGGGCTCCCAGATAGGTTTTTCCAGTCTTCTGTAAACAAGTCGTTGTAGGAGAGAATACTGCTGTTATCACCATTAATAAAATGTATGTTCTGTCAAAACTTTTCTGGTTTGACAAGCAAAAAAAACCCCTAAAAAAACCCCAAACAAATGAAATGACATGTTTTGTTGGAGAAAGATAACCTCCTCTAAAGGGCATAAAAGAACAGACCACCACCCCTCAACTCACAGTTATTCTCTAAACTTAGAGTCTGAATTCATGACCTCTAAATTCTACTCGTCTTCTAGAGTTAAAGGTGGGATTAAAAAAAAAAAACCAAGTTATCATGCCCCCTTGCTGTCCGACCCCTCTTCTTAAGGAAATCACTGATGTCTGGCACCGAAACAGGAGAGACAGAGAGACGTCTTCCAGAGAGAAATGGCTGTTGGGAGAATGTCAAGTGAATGACCTCCCAAACCCCCAAACCTCCTTGCACTCAAGTCGGTGGACTCACAGCGACCCTATAGAGCAGGGTAGAACTGCCCCATGAGTTTCTGAGACTGGAACTGTTTACAGAAGTAGAAAGTCCTGTCTTTCTCCCCTGGAGCACCTGGTGGTTTCGAACTGCTGACCGAATGGATTGCAGCCCAACACGTAACCACTGCATCACCAGGACTCCTTGAATACCCTAAATTGTCCCTGACATTCAACAAACTGGGCACACCAGCACTCTTTCCCCACTCGACAATAATAAAATTGCACCATCTGGGAAAAGAATATTTTTATAAACACAAAGGAGTTTCAAAATTTCATGAAAAACTAATGGGATGAAACCACCATCCTTGTGGTTGGCAGCTCAGTGGGCAGCCCATTATGTTACCAGCCATTCAAACTGGGCACTGCCAAATTGCTCCGCATAGTAGTTGAACTGATTTACATTCTCACCACCAGTTTATAGTAGTTGAACTGATTTACATTCTCACCACCAGTTTATAGTAGTTGAACTGATTTACATTCTCACCACCAGCTTATAAAGATTCTTGCCGTCTCAAGTCATCCTTCCATATTCAATGTTCTCAGTGATTAAACTTTGCCTGCCTGATGCTTAAAATAATAAATAAATAAAAGGATCAAACTTTTCACATTAGCAAAAAATACCCACGGACAACATTCACAGATTAGAAAAAGAGGCGGAAACAGAGAGGAAGTGAGTGGGACACATTATGGTCCATTGAAGGGAGTGGGGTGCATGAAATGAATCAAACTGTGTATGAAATGTTGAATGTAAAATTATGATCTGTTCTGCAACTCTCCACCTAATTTACAATAAAAGGTTTTTTTTAAGGTCCTAGGAAAATGAAATGAAAAAATAATGGAATTTTCCCGCAAACTTCTGAAAGCCCCACGTGGTGCACTTTCTGAAAACTGTATTCCACCTGAGGGCAGTTGATGTCACCAGCTGGCTGGCTAAGAATGAGCCGGAGAACTCTAAGCACGCACACAGGTTCCCCGGGAACCTTATCCCTGCTGTGGCTTCGCTTCACAGACGTTCTCAAAGAGAATCAACAATTTCTAAATCCTAATTTCACAGGAAGAGGGGATATGGGACCTCCTTCTTCACTAGGATCCCATTATCAACTGAAGCATAACTGAAGTGAA